GCATTTTAATTTTTTGTTTTCGCAGTTTGGTACGCAACAACTCGAGATTTAATGTCAAAAAAATGTCTAAGATATTCGACGTTTTTTTATTTGTTTACTTCTTTTTGCCACCCATCATGGCGGATAGAAAATTTTGCGGACGTTTGGCGCTCAGATGAATATCATGAATATATTATATAGCAAAGATCTTATTATATAATATTATATATATTTTAAAAAATATATATAATATTATACTATTTAGTATAACTATTATATATTGTAAAAAGTAAATAGTAAGTATATAGTATAAAATGTGTGTACAGTATAAAATATCTGTTATAAGTATTTTTGTAGTATTTATTATAAACAAATGTATCATTTATTGGAAAATATAAAGCATTTATATATAGCAAAATGTATATATATATATATATATATATATATATATATATATATATATATATATATATATATATATATATATATATATATATATATATATATGTATATGTATATATATATATATATATATATATATATATATATATATTTTGTGTATATATATATATATATATATATATATATATATATATATATATATATATATATATATATATATATATATGTATATACATATTGTATATATATATATATTTATTTATATATATACCAATATAAAAAAAACTAAGAATGTATTATTACTTATGGTAGATTTTAATAACATTATTTTTCATGTTAAAATGTATAGATGGTACGTAATTATAAACCAAAGCGACAAAAAATTTATAATGCAGAAATTTTTCAGGCTGCTCTGCAAACCATTATAGATGGAGAAACTATATCAACTGCAGCAAAACAATTTAATATTCCACGTACAACGTTGATTGATAAATTACGGGGAAAACATCAAACACATTCTATAGGTGGTAAAACAATTTTCTTTAAAAATCAAGAAGAAACTCTTGTTCAAAGGCTGCTTTATATGGCTGATAGAGGGTTTCCTCTCACAATAATGTGTTTAAGATCTGCTGCTTATTTCTATGCCAAAAGCTTGTGTAGACGTCATTTATTACAGAAGTCCATTCCAAAAAGTTGGCATAATAAATGTTTGTCATCACGTGATTGGTTTCTCTCATTCCGAAAAAGGCATACTCAGTTGACACTAAGAATTCCTGAAGGGCTTTCAAGAGCAAAAGCATTTAATGAGAATCGCGTTCAGACATTTTTTAACGATTTACAACCTTTTTATGAACAGCTTGACATAAAAAATTATCCAAATTTGATTTATAACTGTGATGAAATTGGCCTTTCATCTGTGCCAAATGTCTCTGTTAAGGTAATAGCATTAAAGGGTTCTCATGAGGTACAAAAGTTAACTATTGGTGAACGTGGCACACTAACAACATACCTGGCCACTGTTAATGCAGCAGGAGACAGCTTACCACTATTTTTCATATTTAAGGGAACAAAGATTCCAGATGCATCTAAATTTCCTTTGGGTACAAAAGTGCATTGTAGTCAAAGTGGATATATTGATCAAGAGATTTTTATTGCTTATTTACATCATTTTAATGAGTTTTGTACAAAAGTGAATGGGAAAAAAGTATTGTTATTTTTGGATGGCCACAAAAGTCATATGACTATTGAAGCGATTGAATTAGCAATAAAGATGGATATTGAAATAATATGCATTCCACCTCATAGTACACCTCACCTTCAACCACTTGACACACATGTTAATAAAGTAGTTAAACATATGTGGTCTGAAGTCTTGTCTAATTACTTAGCTGAAAATGATGATATTTCTTTGCCTCGTTGCAACTTTCACATTATTTTTAACAAAATATGGCCAAACATACTTACAAAAAGAGGATTGATTGTTAATGCGTTTTACCATTGTGGTTTGCATCCCCTAAGAAACCTAGTAAAAGATTTCGAATATAAAAAAGCAGAGGTTTTTAATAAAGCAACAATTCACCAGGGAGACCAAAATTTATCTATTTCAAGGACTATTATACCTTCTCCTGAAAAAAAAAGGAAACCTACTCATTCAAAACGCCACATTGCTCTTATTACATCACCAGGTAATGTTAAGTTAATAAAAGAGCCTCCTGCTAAAAAGGCTGCAATAAAAAATGTGGTCAGTGTTAAACAGAAGTTAAAAAAGGATCACGATAAATCAGTTAAAACCAAATCAAAAAAGACTTTTTTTTCAGCTGATTCTGATCACCCAAGTTCTTCAAGTTTTATTCTAAAAAATAACACTGATAAAGACTTTTGTTGTGTTTGTGCAGCTGTTTGGGCAGAAGCAAGTGAAGATTGGCTTAAATGTTTAAATTGCAATCAGTGGGCATGCGAAGGATGTTTTGGAGTTGATACATGTGCAAATTGTGTGCAATGAACATATAAACGTCTTGTAAATTTTTAAATAGTCATAGTAGTGATATGATTTTTGTTATTTAAATAGTCATAGTAGTGATATGATTTATTGTTGCTTTAACGTGCTATTTTTTGCGCTAGCGCGGTTATACGGTTTTCATTTATGCCAAAATCATTATTTGATATTTTCTTGGAAAAAGTTTAACAATTGATGTCCTTTTAGATGTCCTTTTTGATGTCCTTTTTGATGTCCTTTTACCCTAGGCCACTGAAGTCGAGGAGGCTACTTTAGTTGTGTTTACAACCCTCTCTCAACTCTATAACTCCGAAACACGAACCTTAACGATCAAGGTTCGTGTTTCGGAGTTATAGAGTTGAGAGAAAAACAAGTTGAGCGCAGTACTACCAGGGACGCGGTGGGAATCGAACTCGCAACTTCTAGGTTTACTTCTAGATTAGGGAAATCATCCTACTGTGACCTCAAAAATGTTATATGTCAAAGTTTTTTTCTCCTAGGTAAGTTGCCTTTACCACTAGAAAGGAATTTCGTCTATCGCCCGAGTCACGAATTTTTAAATTAGTTTAGCTGTACTGACGAATTCGCCCCGTAATTGACGAATTCGCCCCTCATGACTTGATGATGAAAAAATCAAATTATACGCTAAAGTAACTTTAGAATTCATTTTGATTCAATACATTAACAACATGGAAGAACTGAAGTAGGGCGATAGTTTGTAATATTTGTACGATTCCCTGTCTTGAAGATTGGAGTTACTTTCGCAATTTTTAGTTTATCTGGAAAAGACCCTTGTGAATTGGATGCTCTGAAGATTTTATAAAGAATACCTTTTATAACATCATATGAATCAATCACAATATTTGTGTTAATATCATCATACCCAGTAGCTTTATTTCGGTTTAATGACTTAAAAGCAACCTCAAATTCATTAAAAGCTAACTCAGTAAAATTTAGATTAGAACTTATTGATGTTTCGAACTCATCAACAGATTTATCTTTAATGAATGAAATACTATCGCTTAATTTTGTCCCGACAGTGGAGAAAAACTTGTTAAATTCAAATGCAATATCATTTGGGTCATTTATTAATTTGTTTTCAATTTGTATAAAATTTGGGAGTAAATTTTTATTTGGTTTGAGTTTTCCAGACACCTCCTTCATGATATGCCAGACGCGTTTTGAGTTGTGCTTATTTGTGCTTATTTATTAAGCAAGTTTGAATAGCAGTTTTTTTTTGCATTTTTGCGAAGCTTTTCAAATAAGTTTTTATAAGTTTTATAATTTTGTTTATGTTTTTCTGATTTTGATTTTAGGTATTTAATGTATAGCTTCTGCTTAATTTTTGATGATTTTTTGATACCTTTAGTAATCCAGGGAGGTGACATTTCTTTATCGCTTAAAACTATTTCAATTAAAGGAAAGTTGGAATCATACACTTGGTAAAAAGTTTTGAAAAAATTGTCGTAGATTATGTTGATATTATCATTAAAGTTAATAATAACCCCAATCTATATGTGATAATTGTTCTCTGAAAGAATTATAGTTATTATTGTTGATAAGCCGTTTTTTTATTAAAACCTTACCCTGCTTCTCTTTTTTTAAATTAACACATATAGAAAAAAAAATCGGGAAGTGATCGGAAACATCGGTTTTTATAATTATCTTTTTTAGCAACTTGTTAAAAAAATCGGTTGTTAAAATGTTATCAATTAATGATGATGAATGACTTGTGATTCTAGTCGGGCGATTAATTAAAGGTATTGTTCCAGTTTCAAATAAGCCATTAAAAAATTTTCTCGAACTTTGATTTTCATAATAATCAAAGGAGTTTATGTTGAAATCCCCGATCAAGTAATTTTTTTTCTTTTCAAGATCAGTTTTCTTTATTATGTTATTTAGTAAAAAATTGCCAAAGTTTTCAATTCTTCCAGTTGGTGGCCTGTAACAACAGCTTATTAGTATATTTTTTGAACGCTTATTGATAAGTTATATTTTTAAAATCTCTTTGTTTTCATCAGAAACACACATTTCGCTTCGAACTTTATACAGAAGGTCATTTATAACAAAAAATAAAACTCCTCCTCGCTTATTTGTACTTCGTTCTAAAATTACTGGATCAAAACCTGGGAGATGGAGATTAGAGTTATTTTTAAAATCTGCATGTAAACACCAGGTTTCAGTTTTTCAAACAAATTAAATTAAAAGAACCTTCCGCTTCGCTAATAAAATTTAATAAGTTTTCAAAATTATTTTTTAAGCTACGTATATTAATGTGGATTGCATTAAGATAATCACTTTTATTTTCGCTTTTTAAAATTTTGCTCACTTTACTATGATAAAAATAAGAGGTTTCAAATTCAGGAGAATTAATTTAATTAAAATAATTAATATCCGGATCAGATACGTCGTCTAAGTGTAAAGCATGGGTTTCAAATAAATTAATTATTTTTCAAAATCATTATTATTTGTTTCCATTTTCGATATAATTTAGATTTGGAAGTAAATAATAGTGTGCGACATGTTGAAAGTCTTTTAGGAAGACTTAGTGATTAATTTATTGAATACCACTTCAGCATATAACGTATATTTAAATATAATGTAAACAAATAAATAAAATAAATTACTTTTTTTTTGCATTCCACTCGCGTACAATAAGCTTGTCGTTGGAAATATATGCAAATTTTCCCGATTGTCCTTCAATTTTCATTTTCTCTCGTAAGTCTTTTCTTAATCGATTTGTCTCCGCGCAAAAATCTTCATTGATAAAAATATTCTTGCCTTTTAGTTTTGAAGAGTTTCTTAAAATTGCTTCTTCATCTTTAAAATCCAATAATTTCACAACAATTGTTCTGTGCTTTTTTATATCTTCTTTACCAGCTACATCTTTTATGCCCAAGTACTCATCAAATATTTTTTTAACTTTTATTTCGCTTTCTAGCCAGCTTTCATTATCATCTTCTTTAACTCCTTCAACTCTTAGATTTTTCCTTCTTGATCTATCATCTATTTCTCTTAGCTTACTATTTATTTTTTTGAGTTCAATGTTGTTATTATGAATTTCGTTGTGAGTAGGTTTATTTTTTATGAAAGTATCTAACGCAGTTTTAATTTTGTTTTCAATGAGTTCCTCATGAAAATTTAAACTAACTTTTATTTCTTCAACTTCTGTTGCAAGTGTTGATATTTTTTTAGCGTTTTCTAAAATATTATTTCTACTTTGTCCAATCTCTCGTTTAAGATTTTGGTGTTTGCACTAACGATGTTTTTAAAGTTGTTTTCTTGTTGCTTTAGCGCAGCTTCTGTTTCCACTTTGTATTTTGTAAACAAGTCTTTTATCATTTTTTTGATTTCCACAAGTGTTACTGCCATTATTTTAAATGTATATGCAAAAATAAATAATTAATTGCTTTGCATACATAGTTTTGCAGACTTAGCAATTTTAGCAATTTGGTTTTATGAGTGCTGGCCCATACAATTTTTGCGTACAAAAGCTGACTATGTACAAGACTAAAGTAAAGCATATTACGTGATTTACTATCGAGAAAAGGTCTTGACTTATACAATACACCTACTACAGAGGACACCTTTGTTTCAAGAGGACCAATATGGTTTCTCCATTACAAATTTTTATCAAAAAGTATTCCCAAAAATTTTGTGTATTTTTCATACATATTTGTAGATATTTTTTTGGAATCTTTATATATATATATATATTATATATATATATATATATATATATATATATATATATATATATATATATATATATATATATATATATATATATATATATATATATATATATATATATATATATATATATATATATATATATATATATATATATATATATATATATATATGTATGTATGCAGGGTTGCCAGGTCTTTTTTCGGGCACAAGGCCCATAAAAAAAAAAAAAAAAAACATAATTTTTTGTTTTAAAGCCTTGTTTATAATTTATATTTTGAAAAAAATGCTTTTTTATCCAAAAGTTCATCCTTGCATGCAAGGCTTGGTTTGGTATTTTCTTAGTCTGATTTTTATGCAGATGACCTGTGAGAAGACTCAACAAAATAGTTAGAAACAGAACACATAGACAACCATTGCAGTAAGCATCTATATTGCAGAAGTCTAATTCTCCGGAAACTTCTAAATAGTCTCATGAAGCAGTTTAAAATTCAGCGGTGTCTTTAGAAACTCATTTTTCTTAAAAGTTTTTAGACTCGCTCTGATAATGCAATGTCAATTAATTTATGATTAATGACGATTTCTGTAATGATTTTCAGTTTCTTCACTTTTTTTATCCATAAGATAAAATTGTAGATTTGAAATGGCCTTTTCAACTTGGGAAACAACATTCATTAAAGGCAAATTTTTCTCAAAAAATGTCATTTTGAATATAAGAATTTTTTAATATTTTTGGCAATTAAGGGATAAAATTAACATTTTAATTACATTACAAGTAAAAGTTTTTAACGTTTTAAGATTTTAATGTAAGCATTTCTTCCATTTATTTTAAACTTGATCTTCTATAAAATGAAAAAATGGAAATCTTTCTCTCAAATTAACCTTTTTCATGACACAAAAAATTAATTAAATTGAATTTTTTATTAAATAAACTAGAATTAAACCAGATTAAAAAAAAAATACCAGAAAAAACAAAAAAAGACCAAAAATTTTAAAATAAATAAGATTTAAACCAGATTTTCTAAAATAAACCAAAACAAAAGTTTTAAGCCAAACGATAAAAAAACAAACCAGATTTGAGAAATCTGGCTTTAAAAAACACCAGATGGCAACCCTGTATGTATGTATGTATGTATATATATATATATATATATATATATATATATATATATATATATATATATATATATATATATATATATATATATATATATATATATATATATATATATATATATATATATATATATATATATATATATATATATATATATATATATATATATATATATATATATATATATATATATATATATATATTATATATATATATATATATATATATATATATATATATTTATATATATATATATATATATATATATATATATATATATATATATATATATATATATAACTTTCTGTGTAGGTTTTAGAAGTTAAATATAAATAAAAAATCTTAGCTAATCATTTTTAAATAGATATCCTTTGAAGTCAGGTAGACCAAGCAAAAAAAATTTATTTTGGGGCGGATAAGGACCTCTTGGGGCCCGGGGCTATTTTTTTTTTTGGAGGCCTTTGTATGAGGCAGAACCTAAAAATGACTAAAAAGAAAGAAAAAAAAAAAAGATCCTCTAAATTTTTTTGGGGCCCCTGAATTCGCAGGGCGCGTGGCCCGGGGCAATAGTCCCCCCTAGCCCCTCCCCCCTTTTTGATCCGGCATAAATTTTATTGTCTCTTCAGCAAGTTTTATTTGTTTTTTAAAAAGTAAAATAAATGGTTACTGTTTACAAAAATATTTAAGACCTTATGCTATAACATCAACTTTTATTTGCTAAAAATGTGGTATAACATTAAATTTTGGATATTTAAAACCAGCCATAAGTAAAAATATTCAGAAACCTATAATTAATTACACTAAACGAATCCTTAAAAAATCGTAAATAAGAAAAAGTATAGGTGCAATTTGAAAAAAAGATTGTTTATGAAAAAAGATTTAATAAGGAGATTGCATTGGTTTAAACAATCTGCTGTGATCGAGAAGTTATTTTTACCAAAAATTATATGTTATATAAAAATATATATGTATTATATATATATATATATATATATATATATATATATATATATATATATATATATATATATATATATATATATATATATATATATATATATATATATATATATATATATATATACATATTTGTATAGATTTCGATATATAGAATATATTCGAGGTTAAGTATTTTGATGTAATAATACGAAGTCTCTTGTACGTGTTACAGTGCTCAATATTACTGAATAATAAAGCTATATATAACTATATTTAGATGAATAAAAACAACTGATTAGCGGGATTTAAAGTTTCATGCCCGAAGGCAATCATCAGCCGTTAATACGGTATTAACGGCTGATGATTGCCTTCGGGCATGAAACTTTAAGTAGATTTCTAAGAAAACTATCTTTTGGAAAACCAAATTGATTCAATGAAAATATATTGTTAATATTTAGACTATATATTTTATTTGTCGGTATTACTTTACTATAAAATAGCTGCTTATCATTGGATTTTTAGGCCTCTCGATTAACGCGATACTATTAAATTAATGATAGACAAGTCTATTTTACGAACGTATACGTTTGTAAAATTGTTTATGTCAAGAACAAGTTTTTTTAGTAATATTTTCAGAGAATTTAAGTAGGGTATATTAGAGTAATTTGAGCATCTTGGTAATATGAGCATACCTGAAGTTTTCTATCTTGCATTCGCTGAAATTCCAAAAGCGTCGCATTTTTTGAATCACTTTTATAAACTGATTACATAAATCAGCCTGGTTACTTTATTGCGGAAAGAACTTATTAGTGGGTACTTGATATTTAAAAGGCAGTCCAAAAATTTTTTAAAACATTCTTGATACAATTAAAATGGTCTATGGAGTTGAATATTTTTGTTAAAGTCGTTTTTTTTGCATTTTTTTATTAAAAATTTATTAGCTAAACATGTCTTCAATTATCAGGTGAGATCTATATGATTTAAATATTTTATGCTCATGGTATTAAAACATATTATTTTCAGGTAATTTGAGCATGCTCAAATTACCTGAAAATAATATGTTTTAATATGAAATGTTTTAGCATGAAATTGATCATTTGTAGCTTTTACGTTCGATTTCTAACACGCGCTTGGTTATACTATTAAAAACATCGCTGGTTTTTTATTTTCAAAATTATTTGGTGATATATATATATATATATATATATATATATATATATATATATATATATATATATATATATATATATATATATATATATATATTAGTTATTATTATGGTTATTATTATTGTTATTATCATTTATTGCTTTTTCTTAGATACCAAGAGATAGTAAAATAAAAATTCAAAGAGCTGAATGGTGTTTTAAAAATTTGAAAAAAGCAGTTGATGATGTATTAAAATACGAAACAATTCACAAGAATGCGGCAAAATTATTTGGCATACCAAGACAGACATTGAGATGTTATATAAATAAAGTTAAAAATAGTGCTGATTTAAACAAAGTTCTTGGTCGACCAAGAACACCAAGCAAAGTTCAAAAAACTGAATTGGTTAGCATTATTATTGAAATGAAAAAAGATTATTTGGGTTAACAAAGATAGACATAAGGCGACAAGCATATCGTTTTTGTGAAGTTAATTGCATCCCACATAAGTTTAACAAAAAAAGCTAATATGCAGGAAGAAATTGGATACGTTCATATTTTTTAGTTAAACAAGAACCACATGCATCCGGATTTAACAAGAAAAAAGTTGATCGTTTTTTTGATGCCTTAGAGTCAGTGGCATATTAAGACTTCTTGGGGCCCGGGAGCTATTTTTGTTTTTGGAGGCCTTTTTATGGGCCAGAGCCTAAAAATGACATAAAAATTAAAAAAATTAAAAAAAAAGGTCCTCTAAAATTTTTGGGGGCCCCTAAATTTGGAGGGCCTGGGGCTTTAGTCCTCCCTAGCCCCCTTGATCGGACACTGCTTAGAGTCAACTATATTTATTCAGTATGGTAAAATTGTAACCCCACCATGTCGCATCCATAATGCTGATGAAAGTGGCTTTTCAGTTTGTCATACTCCTGGCAAAATTGTTGCTCTGAAAAAAAAGAGATCAGTAGGAGCTATAACAAGTTTAGAAAAAGGCAAAACCATTACAGTGTTATGCTTTGTGAGTGTTGTTAAGTACTGTTTATGGTGAGGCTGCTTCAGTGAGTAAAGCTGAGAGCGTATTTTGTAAATCAGAAATTCATCCTTTTAATCGTCTCATTTACACAGATGAAGATTTTATAGCAGCTGCAGTGACAAATCAAGAACAGAATACTTCTAACATCACATTCAGTGATTTACAAGAAAAAGTAACAAAAGACCAGACCAATCTAACTAGAACACATTCTATTTTAAAACAATGCAGTAGTCCTGTCACTAAAATATTTGCCTAACTGCTTGATGAGTCTGTATCTCTTAATAAAACATCAAGAAAACGAAGATCTGTTCTTCATGCTACTATAGTTTCCAGTTCACCATATAGATCTGTACTGGAAAATTCTAAAACAAAAAAGATGTTGAATACAAAAACCTCAGCAAAGTTAGGACATACACACAGAAAAAAGAAAATCAATTTAAATATTGCCAGTGACATTCCAAGTAAGATTAATAAACCACAAGATATAATGCTTGAGAATACAGTAAGTTGCCTTTACACACATTCAATTTATAAATATATACTTTTACTTTTTAAACAGTTTTTTCAAAGATAACACTTTATTTTTTCTGAAGAAAAATACTTTTTAAATATTGTTTATAATACATAATAAATAAAACAATTGAAAAAAATATATATAATGTTATTTTAATTAATACCTTTAAATTGCTGTAAAGGAAATTTTAAGTATTTTAATTTATAACCTAACTTTTATTTTAGGATATTTCAACTAATGAAGATAAAACAATAAATGAAAATGAAAATAGCAGGATCGATCAAACATATTGTATGATATGTGAAAATGTGTACAATAAGTCTTAAGTGCCATGGAATCAATGTAGTCATTGCAAGAGTTGGAACTGTGAATCGTGTACTGGAAAAAAAAAACTTAAATCTGTTGTTTTTTTTGCAGTAATTGTGTATAAAATGTTACTTTAAACAGTTTTATGTTTAGAAAGTTATGTTGTATTATGTTATTAAACAAATAATTATTATAAAACATTCTTATTATGATAAACATTGTGTCTTATGGAAAAAGATGTTAGAAAAATTTTTTAATTTTCTTATGCTCCACTTAAATACTCCACTACATAGATGCTTAATTTCATTGTTTCGGCTTGTTTTTTTTTTGGGGTATTTGATAATTTTTATCCAATATTTTAAAGTGCTCATATTACCCAGTTGTCTGTGTAATATGAGCACTCTTGTTGTCTTTTTAAAACCTCTGATCCAGCATTTTAAAAAATGCTGGATCCTTCACTGACCTGAGGTTCAATGCCTACTCTTGGCTTTTTTTCGATAAGTTAAATGCTCTTCTGCGGTGTTCTGTGATGCAACCATTAGGTCTTCTTGGAGCACTTAAAATAACCACAGAAAAAATATGTATGTGTATTTTTTAATTACATTGATACATTTTGATCTAGTTTAGTTTACAACAAAAAATTGAAAGTCCTTTACCCAATCCTTTAAGGAAACCATTTTGGATTTGTTTGATCTATATCTCCAATTACAGTATTTAAAAAAAAAACGTTTGATACCAAAATGAGGTAAAAATTTTAAATTTTGAGAAAAAGCTTAAAGATCAACAAAAAATCACTTTACAACAGTTAAAGTGTTAATTTATCTATCGTAATCAGTGAAAGATAAGTGTAACATATTTCTTAAATTATTAAGCAGTGTTTTTTTTGGTACAGGAACACATCGTAGAAAATATCGTTGAACAAAATAACTTGGTTTGAAATTAGAATCTGTTCGCGCCGATGCTTGGAAATTGTTTTAAATTTAGTCAAAAATCATAAAAAGCAGAACCTCGAACAATTGGCGCGAATACTTCTATCAGAAAAAAATAAAAATTAAAAATTTTTTATATAAGTATGACCTCTACGCTACTCATTAGCTGCTCCGCATAGTCAAAAAAAATTATAGGATTGGCTACTGAGCGCATTCATAATATAAGTTTCTTTATCGTGACTTATGCGCAACAATTTCCTACGTAAGTTTTAATGTTTTTATGAATTTTAACTTTTTTGAAAAGTTCTCTCTCTTTCGTTTGTTTTAGAATATAATATCTTTATATATGTTATGCATATAATATCTATAGAAATTTATAAATGTTTTATTTTGTATTTTAGAAAATACCGTAAAATTAATAAAATAAAAAAAATAATAGTAAGCCAGCAGAAGGATTTTAACCCCCGCAATGCACTTCGGAAGCCACTCAGGCATGCTACACTAATAGTTTTTAATATTATTTATTAAGCAGAAAATTATAACTTCATAAAACGGAAAATTAGGGGCTGTTCATATGGATAAAATCATTCCGCCTAACCGGGACAGAAAAACAATCCTCGTCCCGCCTATCTTAATAAACTCTTATAATTTTAACATCGCGTTCATATATAAATTTTCTCACCCCGTCTAGGCGGGATCTCGCCTATGGACTACCGGGATCCCGGTCAGGCGGGGTGAAATTCTTCATATGAACGCAAGTTGAAAATCACCCCGGCTCGACTGGACAGTTTTGTTAAGAAATTCAATGAGCATTTAATAATTTTTAAGTTTAAATCGTTCAACCACGTATAAAAACAAAAATAGTTAATAATTTTAAAAGTGCTTCTTGTTTCAAATATATCGAATAAAAAATGGCGACTGTTGCAATAAAACAAGTTAAAAAACAAGTTTTCAAATGGAATACTGAAATGGTAGAAAATTTGATTGATGCTATTTCTAATTATAAATCACAAATGAGTTATCGCGGAATAGATTTTGATGGCGACAAGCCGGTGTAGCGGTAAATTAAGACTCCAGGAAATTAGGACTTTGAAGTCTTGATTTCCCGGGAAATCAAGATTTTGAAGGAAAATTTGACGGGAAAATATGATGTAATGAGTCATAATTTCCCGGGAAATTATGATTGGAGCGGTAAATTAAGGCTCCAAGAACTTGCGATTGAAAAAGAAAATTTACAAAGAAGTCGTTCTATTCTACAGTAAAAAAAAATTTTAAAAAAAAAACTGTTAATAGAATTTAGAATAGAATCAAAGTTGATTCAAACGCAAAAGCATGTTTAAATAATGCGCTATAATTGTTTCATACGTAAACAAGTAAATAAATTTTACAAATAAACACAAGTGTGCTGCTTTATGGTAAAGGAAAGAAAACATTTTGATTTTGATAACATAGAAGATTATCTTAGGAATAAAAAATACCCTTCTACTATATCTACACATAGTTATGGGATTAAATCAAATTTTCGAAGAGCAACAAAACGGTTTGAAGTAAAACACAGACATTTATTTTATAATAGAAAAATGGTTATTAAAGACAAAGAACTCCAAATGGAAGTTATTAGAGACGTACACCGAGGTATTGGAGATTCTGAACACTCTAAGGCAATGGCCACACATAGAGGAAAAAACACTACGTATGACAATATTGCGCTAAGATTTTTTTGGTATAATATTGCTGCTGATGTTAGTAAGTATATTAGGAGCTGCGAACAATGTCAAAAACAGGGTGACCTAAAGTCTCCAAAAGTAGAATTGA